ACAGCCCAGTAGGTGGCTCTTCGTGAGTGGGCGAAGACTTCTGGAGGCGGCTTGCTGTCTGGGGACAACCGGAAAGGAGTACAAGCCCAGGTCTCCTTCCCAGATGCTCAGACAACCTGGGGCTCCTGCTCCCTGAGCCCCAGGAACTGGCTCAGCTCTGGCAGTACTGAGAGCAATGTCAGCTCTCCTGGTTTTCCTGTCACCGGAAGACCCCTGGTGTTCGTCTCTGGTGGTCCTTTCTGGTCCATCACAGATGGCCTCAGCACACCGACCAGCTCCTCCCTCCTGAGGTTCTCTGGCTGCAGCGGCCCTGGGGAGGACTGATTTCCCAGGGCCCCCAATCGTTTGCTGGAGCCTGGAGGTTGCAGCTGACGCTGGGCCTCGGTGCTAAAACCTGCGACTGTGCGAGCTGAGCGGACCCTTAGCCCCTGCCACCAGCTACCCAAGACATGCCCCCAAACCCGGTAGCCACCCATCTAGTATCCCATCTTTAGATGTAGGACCGCCAAGGTACGTCACTTGAGGCAAACAGAATTGGAGCTTGTCTTTTGAGACACGGTGTTATTTTATAGCCAGCTGCTGTCATAAGTAAATGGTGTCCTTTAGGGAGTCTAGTTATGTCCTAGAGAATAAAACTAAATCATCCACCTATTGGTTAGGGTTCAGTCTCCGGGAAAATCAACATCATTTAAATCAGCCTTTAGTATCTGAGAAAAATGGGTGAGTTTCCGTATATCTCTTTGCATTACAGTCCAAGTAAATTAGAGATCTCCTCCAGGTGATAGTAAAGAACTATTGACTGTCTTTTCTACAGGAATGCTGAAGAAGGCATTACAGAGATCTTATGAAAAATATTGGCAATCCACAGGAATGGCTGATAATAGGATACATGGATTTAGAACCAGAGGATGTCTGGGAATACCTCTTTTTATTTTTTAAATCCTCACCTGAAAATATGTTTTTATTGCCTTTTAGAGAGAGAGGAAAGTGGAGGAGAGAGAGAGAGAGAGAGAGAGAGAGAGAGAGAGAGAGAGAGAGAGAGAGAGAGAAACATCAGTGTGAGAGAGAAACTGATCAGTTGCTTCCCACCTAAACTGGGGATTAAACCTGCAACCTGGGTATGTGCCCTGACTGAGAATCGAACCATGACCTCCTGGTTCATGGGTTGATGCTCAACCACTGAGCAATACTGGCCTGGGGATAATTTCAATTTCTCATAAAGCATTGGTAAGAAGAAGGGAAACACTCTCTCATAACCCTTAAAGAAGCTCCATGCTTGCTCCTATCTCTCTCTCTCTCCCCCTCCCCCCCTTTTGTTTTCTAAATTCCATTTCAGTTTTTGACAATTTTCCTTAAGACGATGTGGCTTTTTACAGTAAAAAGAGACTCTCTTTTGACCTCACTGGGAAGTCCTTCGGGGAGGTCTGACCTGGTGGCTTACTGCAGTGATGGCGAACCTTCTGAGCTCGGCGTGTCAGCATTTTGAAAAACCCTAACTTAACTCTGGTGCCGTGTCACATATAGAAATTTTTTGATATTTGCAACCATAGTAAAACAAAGACTTATATTTTTTATATTTATGTTATATATTTAAAGGCCATTTAACAAAGAAAAATCAACCAAAACAATGAGTTCACGTGTCACCTCTGACACGCGTGTCATAGGTTCGCCATCACTGGCTTAGCTGCTGGAGCTATGCATTCATAATTTTAGTAGCTTTATCCTTTTCTGCCTTTGAATCCTTTCAAATACAGTGGGGCCTTGACTTACGAGTTTAATTCGTTCCGAGACCGAGCTCGTTGAGGAGCTCATTAAGGAGCTCGTTAACTCAAATTACCCTATCAACTCAATGCAAAAAATCGGCCGAGAGACAGCTGGTATCTCAAAAAACTCGTTAGTCGGGACACTCGTAAGTCAAGGCCCCACTGTAAGTCAGTGGTTCTCAACCTTGGCTGCACATTAGAATCACCTGGGGATCTTTTTAAAATCCTGATTTCTGGGCCTCATCCTCCGGAAATTCTGTTTCTTTGTTATGGGGTGGGGCCACAACATTAGTAACAAAGAAACAGAATTTCCAGAGGATGAGGCCCAGAAATCAGGATTTTAAAAAGATTCCCAGGTGATTCTAATGTGCAGCCAAGGAGAACCACTGAAATAAGTGATGGGCCAGAATTGCTAGTTTATCAGAATTGCTAACATATGTAGTTGACCAGTTTAATTCATGTTGTTCAATCAGAGTTACAAGAGCCTCATCTAATCCTTCTAGAAATGCTGAATTAAGCATTGGATCCTTATGATGTTCCTTAAAACTGTCTGGAGACAATCCTGAATGTTGTTTGAAACTTTTTTTCAAAACATTCAAAGAAATCAAGTATGTTTTCATTGATATTGTTGGATTTTCATCCAATCTATTTTCTGGGGGGTGGGGATCTCAGGGGTGGCTTGGTGAAGCCAGTGGGCTTAATTCCCTGCATTTTTCTTGGCCTGTTTCTCTGTTTTGTTTTGTTTTGAAATCCTCTATAGGAGTTTTCCAGCAGACCTTACTTAGCTATTCTGCTGCTTTGCTCTCAGAAAACTGGTAGCTGTATTAGTTGAAACAGATTAGAATATCCAGGATCATATATTCTAACAATTAAATAAAATTCTTTTGCAAACCCAAAAGGGTCTTAGAGAGGATCAGGAAAATCTATAGTTAGATTCCTTAATTCTGCTTTAGTCCATGAGGGCAAATTATTGCTGGTTCCCCTCATCCTGAGACTGGCTTTTCTCTAAGCAGAGGTACAATAATTTGTGTGGGTTGCTTTTTTTGTTTGTTTTTTTTTTCTAGCCCTATTCTGGGCTGTCTTTTTTTTTTTAAATATATTTTTTATTGATTTTTTTTTTTTTTTTGCAGAGAGGAAGGGAGAGGGATAGAGAGTTAGAAACATCAATGAGAGAGAAACATCGATCAGCTGCCTCCTGCACACCCCCCACTGGGGTTGTGCCCTCAACCAAGGTACATGCCCTTGACCGGAATCGAACCTGGGACCCTTGAGTCCGCAGGCCAATGCTCTATCCACTGAGCCAAATCGGTTAGGGCTGGGCTGTCTTTTAATTCTTACTTTGCCCTAAGTCAGTAGAGGGTGATGGTGATGAGGAGAGAAGAGGAGGTGAAGAAAGGGGAGGCAAGTCCAAAAAAGGGAGGTCAGAAAGGAGAGGGCAGATAGAGGAAGGGTGAAGTGGGGGGCTGGCCCTGGGCAGCTCAGAAGCCTTCTTTAGTTCAGAGACAGTTTCTAAAAGTTTCTTATTAACGTCCTTGAAGAGAAAAAAATTTTATCGGAGAGTTCAGAAACAGTCTTTAAAATTCTCTTAAATTCCCAAACAGAGGAAAATTTACCTGTGTTCCTTTTACAGACGTCTATTTTCTAATCAAGGTTAGTATCCCATTCATTCAATTCCATTTTAGAGCCTGATTTTTCCAATTGAGCACACAAAAAATGGCGTAGAGGTATCTAAAGATACCTGTTTTGCCCATCTTAAGCTGCTATCACTTTACCTAACTTTCCCCATTTCTGTAAACACTCTCAAGTCGAGGCTCCCTACAAATTGCACATGAAACTTGCCCGAGTACGGAAGGGAGGCTGACTGTCATGGGGCTTGTCAGCCTTGGATGTACAATTTCCCATGTTACTTTTAAGTTTTCTTTTGAGCCAATTCAGAACAATTCAAATAGCCCTGGCCGGTGTGGCTCAGTTGCTTGGAGAGTTGTCCTGTACGCTGAAAGGTGTTCGATCCCTAGTCAGGGCATGTGCAAGAGGCAACCAAATGTTTCTCACATTGATGTTTCTCTCTCCCTTCCTCTCTCTAACATCAATGAACAAGTAAAAATAAGTAGAAAGAACAACTCAAATAAAGCCAGGAACCACTACCTAATGCAGGTAGGGTAAGGATTTCAAGAGGAGACTCGCCCAAGTTTACCTATGGAGGGTCAAAGAGCCCCTGGAGCACAGTGGGCACACCGATGCCTAACACCTGGCCTGGCTGTGCAGGTGGCCCTGGGCAGGCTTATTTAGAATCCTGCCAGCTGAGCCAACTAATGCCCATGGAAGAATGTCCAAACCTGTAGAAGATTTTTATTAAAAAGTATTTGAGCCAAACAAAGCATATACCTGGAGGTAAGATCGCAACAGACTGAGAAAAAAAATGATTCTTAGAATGTCAGTTTGCAGTTTCTTTCTTTCTTTCTTTTAATCTGCAGCTTCTTTTATACATTAGGAATTAAGGAGGGAACATAAGGAAGATTACATGTGGGTAAGAGAAGGCAAGGCAAGATTGGATTGCAGGACAGTTAACAAGATTCTGTACTCTCTTGAGGGTGGTTTTTCTCCTGAGGGGTCTAAAAGGACTTTCAAAGATGTGTTAACCCAGGTGCACAGAGACAATGTGAGGCAAAAATAACCCTTTTACTACAGGTGGTATCTGCTCACCCATTAACTGCCAGGTTAGGAACTTACAAGCTCACCCTGTGAGGTTACTGTCCATTTTGTCCATATTCCCCACCTCCCTCCACACCCAGAACTGAGCCTGGGCTCAGTTCTCAAGGGGAACACGGAATAAAATCAGGTGAATGAAGGAGTGATGGGTTCCCAGGACTGTGGGAGCAGAGAGTTAGGGTGGCCCATCAGGACCTTGCAAATGCTCCTCACCCTGAGGGCACCTGTGCCCTGACCCCACTCTACCTTGATAGACAGCAGGCTCCACCTTGTTCAGGCCTCAAAACTTTGCCACACCCTACTACCTTCCTTCTGCAGGCAGGCAGGGGCGGGGTCAGGGAGCTGCCTGCATCATTGGAGGGACATGGAGACTTTTATAGCCAGGGATAAAGTCCTCCCCTGATTAAGCCCAAAGAGCTTGCCCTGCAGCTGGTGCCCTGGTGGCTCAGCCTTGTCCAACTTCCAGCCTCACCAGGTCCTGGTCCCTCTGCAGTCCCGGCTCCAATGCCGGCCCACCATCCCACAGGCATGCAGGGAGCCCACCTGCTGGTGCTGCTGCTGCTGCTGGGCCTCAGGATACAGCTCTCTCTCGGATTCATCCCAGGTAAGGAGCCCCTTCCAGCGGGCCCCACACATGGGGCGCTCCCCCAAGGCTGACCTGACCTCCCTCTCCCCTTGGCCAGCTGAGGAGGAAGATCCAGCCTTCTGGAACCACCAGGCAGCCCAGGCTCTGGACACCGCCAAGAAGCTGCAGCCCATCCAAACAGCCGCCAAGAACCTCATTCTCTTCCTGGGGGACGGTGAGTGGTCATGGCATATTCATTCCCAGAGCCCCACAGTCCTGGTACCCAAGGCTACCTATGGGCACAGCCATGCCTGTGGACTCAGACCTGACAGTGTTCCACTTCTCAGGGATGGGGGTGCCCACAGTGTCAGCAGCTCGGATCCTAAAGGCGCAGATGAATGGCAAGCTGGGACCTGAGACCCCCCTGGCTATGGACAAATTCCCATTCCTGGCTCTGGCCAAGGTAAGGGCTGGGTGGCCTCAGGGTGCTCCACACCACAGGGGTGGGGTGTGCCTAGGGAGCCTGGTAGGAGGGAAGACCCCAGGAGGGTTGGGGCCTGAGTTAGGGGCCCAGGGCCTGGTCATGATCTGGGTGTCTGTCCCAGAGAGGAGCTGAGGGTGTCTCTGTCCCCAGACATACAACGTGGACAGACAAGTGCCAGACAGTGCAGGCACGGCCACAGCCTACCTGTGTGGTGTCAAGACCAACTACCGGACCATTGGTGTGAGTGCAGCAGCCCGGTACAACCAGTGCAACACAACACATGGCAACGAGGTCATCTCCGTGATGAACCGGGCCAAGAAAGCAGGTGGGCTTGGGGCCAGCCTAGTGGGCAGGGGTCGGGCCCAGAGGGCACGGTGGCTCACCCTGACCTGACCTCCGTCACCCTCAGGGAAGTCAGTGGGGGTGGTGACCTCAACGAGGGTGCAGCATGCCTCACCAAGCGGCACCTACGCGCACACGGTGAACCGCGAATGGTACTCAGATGCAGACATGCCCACCCAGGCGCTGAAGGACGGCTGTCGGGACATCGCCACGCAGCTCATCACCAACATGGACATTGATGTGGGTCATGAGGGCAATGGGGACCTGAGCAGAGGGGGTGGGCCCCATGCTGGCCACAGTCCCAGGCAACCCACAGCCTGAGCCCCGGGGCCTGGGGCCTGGCAGTGTCTCTGGGCACTTGGGAGGTGGTGTAGAAGGTACAGGCAAGCCAGGCCTTGCCACAGACCTGGTGGGGGGGACCTAGAGATGGTTTGTTCAGGGGGCAAAGGGCCAGGCAGGCCCCAAGCTCACCTGCCCTACTCCCCTGGCTCCAGGTGATCCTGGGTGGAGGCCGCAAGTACATGTTTCCCAAAGGGACCCCAGACCCTGAGTACCCTGGTGATGCCTCAAAGAGCGGAGTCAGGTTGGACATGCGGAACCTGGTCCAGGAGTGGCAGGCCAAGCACGAGGTGATGGGGGCTCCTGGGGCAGGGGACAGAGCAGGGACAAGGGCAGGGCTGCTGGTTGTAGAGCCGTGGGCTGAGGCCTGGTTCTGTCCCTCCCAGGGTGCCCGGTATGTGTGGAACCGAACAGCGCTCATTCAGGCGTCCCAGGACTCCTCTGTAACACACCTCATGGGTAATAACCCACCCCTCCCCCACCTTCCTGCCCTGTCCTCCGGGTCCCTGGACACTCATGTGTGCACAGACCCCACTCCACAGCTGTCAGTCACCTCAGCCCCCTTTCCCACAGGCCTCTTTGAGCCAGGGGACATGAACTATGAGGCCAAACGAGACACCCAGCAGGACCCAAGCCTGAAGGAGATGACAGAGGCCGCCTTGCGTCTGCTGCGCAGGAACCCCCGGGGCTTCTACCTGTTCGTGGAGGGTGAGTGAGTGGCACCCCCTCACTGAGCAGAGGGAGATCAGGATTCAGGGCAGGTTCCCCACCACCCACCCGTGGTCTTTCTGCAGGCGGCCGCATTGATCAAGGTCATCATGCGGGAAGAGCTTACTACGCACTGACAGATGCTGTCGCTTTTGATGACGCCATTGACAGGGCCAGCCAGCTCACAAGCGAGAAGGACACCCTGACCCTCGTCACTGCTGACCACTCTCACGTCTTCACTTTTGGTGGCTACACTCTGCGTGGCAGCTCCATTTTCGGTAGGAGGCAGAAAAGGCTCTGAGCCTCAGTTTGCTCATCTGTCAAATGGGGTCATAATAGCCATAGCCTTGCAGGGTCTTGTTCGGATTAAGTACTGAATAGGCAAGCAGTGCCTGGGTTTAGCACACAGGGGGCGCTGCAGAGCTGTGGTCGTGCCATCACAGGTCCCCTTCTCCCTGCAGGGTTGGCTCCTGAGCCAGCCTCGGACGGGAAGACCTACACCTCCATCCTTTATGGCAATGGCCCGGGCTTTGCAATCAATGGGGGCTCCCGTCCCAACGTCAGTGACAGCCAGAGCGGTGAGTGCGCATCCTGGTGGGCGGGCAGGGTGACCTCCGTGGGGAACTCCCGGAGGGGGGAATTGCCCAAGGACCCTGAACCCCCACCCTGACCCCCCATCTTTGGCCAGGTGACCCCAACTACAAGCAGCAGGCGGCAGTGCCCCTGTCGTCTGAGACTCACGGTGGTGAGGACGTGGCGGTGTTTGCGCGTGGTCCGCAGGCGCACCTGATGCACGGTGTGCAGGAGCAGAGCGTGGTGGCCCATGTCATGGCCTTCGCCGCCTGCTTGGAGCCCTACACCGCCTGCGGCCTGGAGCCCCCCACCAGCACCAGCATCCCCGACGCTGCGCACCCAGGACTGTCCACAGGCCCCTCACTGGCTTTGGTGATTGGGGCACTGTGGCTGATACTGCTGGGCTGAGTGGTGTCCTGACCACTCCCTTAGGCCCCCATCCGATGTCAGCAGAACCCCTGCCCAAAGCCTCCAGACCCAGGACCCACCTCAGGCCTCTGCCTTCTGACCTTTACCTGTTGGCAATAAATGAGCCTCAGCTGGTGCAGCGCTGCCCCCGCCCCACCCTGCCGGCCTGATGGTGGGGCGCCCTAGAGGCTGAGGCAGTGGCTTTCCTGCCGCACCCACTGTCCTCCTAGGTTGCTCTGGATTCCCCGCCACCCCGCCCCAAACTGGGTGGACTGAGACTTGAGCAATGTCCAGGCGCCCTGATAACAGTGGCTTCCTGTCACCCTGCAACTGGCCCCGAGAGCACCTTGTTGATGGAGGAGTCACTTGGGGGAGAGGGTCCCATGGGAGGGCGGGGTGTGCTTCGACAGAATCACTGGGCCTGGGCCTGGGCCTGGTACCATTACACAGAGGAATAGATAGAGACACAGAAAAGCGTCCCAAGCCACTCCCAATGCCCTTTCAGACTAGGAGAGCCAAGAAGCTTCGGGAAGCCCCAGAGCAGCCTTGGCCCCCACCCTGAGCCGTATGGGCACTGGGCATAGATGCCCTGCCCTCCAGGGACCTCTATTCTGGGAGGGACATAGGAATAGTCAACTAAACTGTTATACAACGTATGCCAATGCTGATATGTTCTAGAAAGAAATATCATTAGCACGTGGGGCCACAGAATGTGTGTGTGAGTCAGGGGAGGGGAAAGGTAACGCAGATCAGGAGGGCAGGGGCCAGGGAGGGGCTCCCTGAGGAGCAGCCAGGTGTGCCCGGACTGGAGGCAGGAGGGCTTGAGCAATGCTGAAAGAACAGCCTGCACAGATCCTGAGGCAGCAATCAAGTGCGGCTGGAGGTCAATAGGAGAGAACCCCTGAAGGGAGGGGAGCGGCTGGGGGAGGAGCTCAGAACTGACCCACAGACTGGTATGTGATCACAAGGCTTTGAGCACGGGCATAGCAGACCTGACTCTAGGAAATATCGCCCTGGCTCCTGTGGGGAGAAGACTATGTTCTGTTTTGTTGGAGGGAGGGGGGCAGAAGCAGGAGATGGAAAACCCCAGGGGAGATGTGGACACAAACCTGTCTGACCTCCATCCCAGGGCCAACATTCTGGGGTACCCACTCCATGATAGCTACACTTACTGAGTACCTAACCCACCCAAAGGGAACATTGAAAAGAATCCCAGAAAGGTGGAATCAACCATATTTTTCAATGCATATGAACAGAATTACTGATTTATTTGTCCATTGACAAAGGTGCAGAAAACCACTTGGCTCTCACTGGAAATACATAAGATGGTAGAGCATGCGTCCTCGTTTACTAACATCTTGATTAAACTAACATCACCTCGAAGGCCTGGGTCTCAGGGCAGTTTAGTCCAATCCTGGATTTCAGTGGCTGTCACAGAATGGGAGCGCAATGGAAGAAGAACATCATTAGCTGGGCTCACTGAAGCGCCTCACTCACTGGGAACTCCATCCACGGGTTGTGCAAAGGGTTGTGTTAGAATCCAGCTACTGTTTGTCTTCCCTTTGTCAGTCAGTTGATCTTACCCACCAGTGGGAAGGTGCCACACGTTTGTTTCATAAATGGACTCAAAACCCAAGGTAACCCTACATTTTAAAACTCTAAGGTTTTAGAAATAGATTATTCTAGAATTAGTGTTGACGGCCACACAACTTCAAACATTCTAAAGAACATTGAACTGTGCACTTTTAAAAGGGTGAATTTTATGGTATAAAAATTATATCTAAATTTTACAAAACAGTTTCTGCTCCCAAGTTTTTTCAATGTGTAGGTATGAGGGGGTGTATTGTCAAACACATTGTTGGCCACCAAGTCAGGTGTCCATGGGAACATTCCTAACATCTGTTTAATTGTCTTTCTCTTGAAGGGGCAGACACATGGGAAGTGTGTTTTTTTAAGGTTTTTATTGGGGGCCTCAGACTGACAGCTCTTGTCACTCAAGCCATGTCAGCAGCTTGGTCTTGAATTAGGAGGGAAGTTAGAAAGAGAAGGAGGAAAACTCACGAGAGCCCTTTTCAACACTTTGCCATCAAGATGACTCGTTCTTGCCCTGACCGGTTTGGCTCAGTGGATAGAGCGTCGGCCTGCGGACTGAAGGGTCCCAGGTTCGATTCCTGTCAAGGGCATGTACCTTGGTTGCGGGCACATCCCCAGTAGGGGACGTGCAGGAGGCAGCTGATCGATGTTTCTCTCTCATCGATGTTTCTAACTCTCTATCCCTCTCCCTTCCTCTCTGTAAAAAATCAATAAAAAATATATATATTTTTTAAAAAAATAAAGATGACTCCTTCTTGTTCGTCAGGAGAGTATCCGGGTCACATCTTCTCACTGTGAGCAGGACACCTCACCGGCTGGGCACTGCTCACCCTGAAGCTGCAGCAGGAAGGTCCAGGGACCACTAGCATGAGCTGGCAAAACACCATACGAATTCTTGCCACGTCAGACGCTTGGGTGTCTACCTGCAGAGTGCAGGGGAGGCCGAGAGGCGAGGCTCCTTTTCTGCATGTAGATAAGGAGAAATATTTGTGGACCTAGTTCTTTGGGCACAGTGACTGTTCATTATTTGGTCTGAGTGCTCTTGGTTTTTATTTGCACTTTTCTCCCGGGGATGGCTGCTGCTTGGGTCCTCAGGGCTTGGTGTGGCTGACTGCCGGCCGGAGATAAGCCGCCATCAGTTCTTTCTTTGGGCTATCAGAGGGAACGACTCCGGGAAGTAACAACCTCTGCACCTCAACGTGTACAATACTGCCAGAAATATTTACCGTTCGTCCTGGCTGAAGTCCGACAAGACACATGAAAGGATTTTGTGACGATGACCAGAAATTTGGCCAAATTGGAAGCTGATTCAGAGCCTGATAGGGACCTCCTCCTATACGTTACATTAAAACTATGTAACCGGAAGGAAAGAAGCAAGTTAGAGGTGATGTAGTTGGACAGGTAGATCAACCTATGATGCCACTTAAGTTACCCAGTTTTGTGGAGGAATTGAGCTATTGCCCTTATCTTATATATTTTTGTAAAACCATAAATGTAGCTCTAGAAGAAGTTCAAAGCACACTTGTCTTTAATATTCTCAATTTCTAAGATTGGAGGAAAAAACATGTTTTTATTTATTTCAGAGAGAGGAAAGGACAGGGAAAGAGAGATAGAAACATCAATGATGAGAGAGAATCATTGATTGGCTGGTTCCTGCACACCCTCTACTGTGGATCGAGCCCACAACTGGGGCATGTGCCCTGACTGGGAATTGAACCATGACTTCCTGTTCATAGGTTGATGCTCAACCACTAAGCAACACCAACCGGGCTATTCCTAGTACTCTTAATTATATATAGGGTGTCCCCCCTCCCAAAATGTATATACACTATAACAGCCGATAGCTCAATTTTGAAAATGAAATGTATTTTAATAAACACTAACTTTATAATTATTAAAAGCATGTGTATACATTTTTGGGGGCACCCTATATATTGAAATTTTATTCCTTAAAAATTTTAATTCCTAATAAAAACTAAAAAGCAAGCAATTAGCTTTCTTTAGATTGGCAAAGTTATGAATACATTTCATAACCTCAACAAGCATAGTTTATTTTACTGACAAATAAATATATCTCATAATTTTTAGAGATATATGCTTCCACAACAAAACACAAACCATATTTATTAACAAATCTGATTTTATCTTTCAGTTTCTCTATAATAAGAAACCAGAAGTAGGTAAACTTATGCTTACTTAGTAATTAATGCTTTAGTATTTTATCTTATTTGAAAATGATCTAGAAGCCCTAGCCAGTTTGGCTCAGTGGATAGAGTGTCAGCCTGCAGACTGAAGGGTCCCGGGTTTGATTCCAGTCAAGGGCACATGCCCAGGTTTCGGGCTCGATCCCCCAGCACTGGGGGTGTGCAGGAGGTAGCCGATCAATGATTCTCTCTCATCATTGATGTTTCTAGTTCTCTTTCCCTCTCCCTTCATCTCTGAAATCAATGAAAATATATTTTTAAAAAGAAAATGATTTGGATATTGAATAATTTTCATCATATACAACTTAGCAAAACTCTAAGGTTCAAGTTACCAAAAGATTTTGGGAAACTATTAAAAATATATATTTATTACTAAAATGTTTCACCTAAACACTTTTTATTCTATTGACATCTATTTATTAGTTCTTAACAATCATATTTAGGTTACTAGGGAAGATTTTATGCTACATTAAAGCAGTTTCTTTCATGAACTTATTAAACCAACAAGGGCTTGTACAAAATTTAAAAAAAAATCTTTATTGTTGAAAGTATTAAAAAATGTGTCTCTTTTTTCCCCCCCCAATGCCCTCCACCTGGTTCTTGCCCCACCCCAGGCCTTCACCACCCTACTGTCTGTGTCCATAGGTAGGGAGTGTGCAAGAGGCAGCCGGTCAATGATTCTCTCTCATCATTGATGTTTCTATCTCTCTCCCTCCCCTTCCTCTCTCTGAAATCAATAAAAACATTCAAAAAATAGTTTGCCAATAATTCCCACAAAATCCTGGACCACTTACATTTGTATATGGGATAAGAATGTACTTTATCTATGACAGTGTCCGGAACAACGTGGTCCTTACCCAACCACATGATTCCCCAAAACTTTACTATGGTGCCTGGACCTTGAACTGTCTGTGGATTCACTGCCCATCCTCTCTGTTGTAGGTGGTCCAGCAAAGCTTATAATGTTTTCTGTATCAGAGGTAAATCTTCACAGGTCGGCATCATGTCATCCATATAATTTCACAGAGGTCGGGAAGGAAAACAGCGATGAGTCCTGGGCCACGTGCGGTGGGGCTATGTAAATAACCTTGGGGGAGTATCTGGAAGTTCCACTGTTGCCCTTTCTAGGAAAAGACAAATTGATCTCGGGGCTCGATAGCCAGGTGTATGCTAAAGAAGCATTGGCCGGGTCCAGTACAGCAT